CATCAAAGACAACTGACAAGAATCAAAGTATTTTCTTAAAACTCAGGTTTAAGTTAGTCACAATTGTACTGATTTTCACTTTCTTTCCATTACGATTACTCTAGTTAGAGCACATTCGGTTCCAGTGCGACACAATCCTAAGTCTTGACTAAACAGTAATAAGCTCAAAAAAGTGGGATGATTAGACGTGTAACCAGCAACTCCACACATCTCGCAAATACGACAGCATAGCGAGTGAGACTTTAAAGCTCAACCTTTCAGCCCGAAATACCACTCCCAGCTCAAGGTATGGTAGAAAAAAGATTAATAAAATGAGAAACAGTTGTCCAGTACTAACTGGTTTTCAATGGTTTTCTACCTGGAAAACAATCAAAAACGTTGAAAAAAAAACTAATAATTGAAAAATAAGAAACAGTTTTGCATAATATACATCGACAATTGTCACCATTAGTTATGAACATTAATCACATTGATAGATTTAAGTGCACAGATGTTGAGAAAATGAGATTGTTAAATACAAACATAAAAGGATATATATATATATATATATATATATATATATTTAGAGAGAGAGAGTTGATGATATTATGCTAATGAGACTGCATACAAATAGTGTATATTACTATATTTATACTCCAGGTAGAAGTCAGACAGGTCAATTTAACGCGTTGGATACAATCATCCATTCTCATACAGGTGAACATTGAAAGGTAACATTAAAACTGGGCAAAATTAACAAGCGTAACAAATAGTTAGCGATTATATACACAGTTGAGGGATGTTGTTTTGCGATTTATTTCTGTCTATCCTATCATCCATGCATACATAGAACACAAATGATGAATAGAACATTCAATGGATACGTAAAACCAAAAAATTCTCATTTTCATCTGCAGTGATTTCAAAACGAGAAAAAAAAACAAAGAAAATAAGCCAATAACTTTACAACAGTATAACAGTTTGTATCAATACTAACAAAAAATTATTTATAAATTAGTTCTATACAAAATAAAACCAAATAATGCATGAGAGAAATAATAATATCAAACCTAAGTTGATGATTCCCAAAAAAAGAGATAGGGAAATGAAATAACATTGAGAAGAATTTACATAACATTACTTATATATATACACCAGAAGTTTATGAGTTAGAAAAACTGAGTACAACTCAGTTGTATTGCTTATTATTATTATGCATTATGGAGGTGAGTTTACATCACTGAAACAATCTAGTCAATTAGAATGACATAAATTACTCATGTTGGGTTATCTGCATATTCTCAGTTAAAAGGAATGTGTTTTTTCCGACTGTCCAAAGCAATTCGAAGTGAACGGCTTTCATCCGAATGACCATCTTCCTACGGTAATTTATATAAATGTTTACTGGACACTAAAAGCAGCCGGTCCCTTCGATGAATAATGAAAGGATGACTGACTGGTTTCAACACAGAAGTTTGCACCAGTGTGCAGCAGTTCCAGTCGCCACACTCCATGTAGCACACACACAAAGTAAGAGAAAGTAAAAGTAAATCCAAAATAGTCACAGAATAGTAATATCGAAGAACAATACAGTTTTATTGGGTATTATAAGTAGTCACAAGGAGTGGATGCATCTGCGCCAGCCATTGAGAACAATTACTTTGAGCCATATCACCAATCGTCTCCAGCCGCCATTGGTGTTTACTGTCCCGAGGAACCCAACCAATCAAGAAGTCTACACCTTACTAAGTGGCTTAAACTAACTGTGGATAAACAACACAGAACTCTGGCAACAAACCAACCAACAACGTATGGCCCAATAGATATGCAAAGTATATGAAGATGAATTCGAAACACCTTGAGAACGTTGTTGACACCTGGCAGAACCCAAATGAAAATGTGACAAGTTGTGTGTCATTTCTAGGGTGACATGGAGGAGGTCGTGTGATGCGGAAAGGGATGTTTATGGTCAATAATCATAGAGTCACCTAAATAAGAAATAGTTGAGCGTGCTCTACCAGCTGTTAACTGAGTCATCATTTCATAATAAGATATCACAGACAACATAAAAGTATATTTTCGACGATAATGAAACTAATTATGCTTTGAAAATTCTAACTTACAAAGTGGACTATAGATATTTCGCCTCTCGTATATTCTTTAGGGATGATTTCAACATCATGCTTGCAGAAGAGATAGCAGCAAATTAACTTTGCACAGACATTTGATAAAATGCATTTTTATGCTGTACATTATCATTATTATTCTCTCAGGTACCAAGTGAAGCATACCGTTTCAAAGGCACATATCTGTCTCATCCTGTTCTCTGTAGTCCACTTTAACTGCCTCCATGAATTGCCCATAGTCTCCCATCTTCTCACAAGATCTCTATGTCATCATCCAGCACCGAACTCGTCGTATCCCATTCGGGTTTCACTGTAGGACGCGGCACGTGATGTCACTGAACAGTCTCTTCAGAGCATGTCCTACCTAACTTAATTTCCTTCAGCATATTAGTTGGGCGCGTCAGTGGCACAGCGGTAGAATGTTCGCCAACCACACAAGTGGTTCGCTAAGCTAGTAATAAGACTGGTAAAGAGGGAAGGTTGGGCATGGGACTAGCAACCCTATCCCGTAAAAATAAGTACCACTGCTACCGCAACTTCCAAGCTTTGGCTTGAAACCCTATGTTCCATTGGGAAAGTAAAAGATAACAAAAAAATATATTTGTTGGGCAATAAGTTCTTGTTTGGTTAGTTGCCACAGATTCTTTGTTGCTAATCCTTTCCAACTAAACCGTCTGATCTTCAGCATGCAGTGACGGCAGTTGTTCATAAAAGTCTGAAGTCTTTGAACCATATACAATTACTAACTAAGTGCAGTAGATTTCCACACGGATTTAAAAGTAATGAAGGTCTGTCTTACTTTCTCGATCCTGACTTTGACATCCTCATCTGTGATGCTTGCAGTTGAAACGCTGTTTCTTAGGTTAGGTGACCTTGGCTGAAATTCCTCCCGTTGATAATGATTGGCGCTTGTTACTTACTGTTGGTTGGTCATCTTTATCGCCTGTCTTCTCTATATTCACTTGAAGTCCTGTCTTGGCTGTTTGGCTACCTACCTCATCTGCCAAATTGTTGTTTCTCCCTTATAGATCATTCAGTTTTTATTGACATTAGACAGATATCATCCAGGAAAGTCCAAATCTCCTAGAGTTATCTTGTAGGTTTAACGTATTCCTGTCTTCCTATGTTGTATTACAGACCAAAATTTACTAAATTCAGCGAAATCAATAGTAGTTCTATTCAAATGAAATGATAAATTATGATGACTCAGTAATAATAATCTAAGGCTTTTTTCATGTTTAAGAGATGATAAACAGAGATAGCTCTAGGTCTATTCATCATCAAGACTAATCAATACCAGAAAACAAAGCATTAATTCTTCTTACTACTATAAATAATGAGTATTGTCTAATCACATTACACATCACACATAAAAACAGAGTATATAACAACCTTGACCTTATTCAAAGCAATCATGGCATTAATCATGTTTATATAAATATGCAGACGTGTTGGATTCGATTGAATGAAAGGCTTACAACATGTTAATCTGTTTACACGCATGAATTATTAACAAATTAACCAGTATGTGATAAAGACATGCGCGCATAAGAACAATTGTGAACAGATGGTAGTAATGACAACATACACAAAAACACGCCTAGCCAACCCACCCACACAAATATACACATAAATCATCGTACGAACAAACAAACAAACAAATAAACACCACCACCGACAAACTATAGTGTTGTTTTGTTTAGAAAACAAAGAGGTGAATATATATATATATATATATATATAACATTACAAAGGTCCTAATTCCTGTAGAAAGATCATCTGACTTTGTATACCTATAGGCTATACCACATAAAATAAAAATATCATCCGTTTCTAGGTCAAAATGAAGAATAAAGCCGTTTTTCTTTCTTTCTTTTTTTCTCTCTCTCTCTCACCCTACTTCTGATCTGATCATGTGATTTTTTACGCGAAATAAAAAATTTTTAGACCTAATTATGAATTTGCTTTTCCAAAACACACTCTTCTATGCTTACTTACAGACAATGAAATAAATGATGTAAAAATAAAATGTAATAAACAATAACACATTTAATTAAATGTTGGATGACTCACATTACTGTGTTTATGCGCTTAAATAGGGTTCAATTGTTTTGCAATATCATTATCACTAGGCTGGGCTGGAATACACCTCTTCCCCCCGCTCCAAATGTCGTAGAGCACTTTTGATTCATGTAGTTCTATGGTTTTAGCCATCATGATATTGAGTATTCATTTCCTTTCGTATTCCAAGTGAGATAAAGGAATTCATATTTTCAGCTTTGAACTTTCAATAACAGTGATTTTGCTTTTTCATAGTCCAGTTGCTAGCCTAACGCCCAATTGTTTTTTTGCCAAGCCAAGCCTACTATCTACCGGCTAAAGAGAGATTCGGCAGTGCATCCGCTGGGAATCGAACGTGGATTTGAAGTGTGGCTACCAGCTTGAATAACCCATGGGGAGTTACAAATTTCATAATTCAGTAGGTAATGACGATAATGTATAAATGGAATTACACAGCCTCTCTACTTACTTATCTGTTTTTAACATTTGAAAACAACAACTGTCAAAAAATAACTCGGGATGAATTATGGAAAGTATAGAGACTAAGAAATAACACGTCAGAAATAATACAAGTGAAAGAAAAACTATTCTTAGATGGCAAATACTGTGGACTTGATATTGATAGTATTGAAAATTTGCATCTTTTCTCGCGTGTTATACATCTCCACAGTGACTTCACAGTAATGAACACCTGTCTTTTTCCTTCTCATCCCAGCTAGCTGGCCTTCAAATTCTGATTCGCGTCGTCTATAGTTAAAACGATGCTACTGAATTAAGTTAATATCATTATATTTTACTCATGTAGCTAAAATATAAAATGCAGTAAGGTTAAAAAAACAATAGTTACCCAGAAAGTAGCGATGTGGTTCATTGGTTTGAGGAGTTGACTTAAAACCAGTTGGTCCTGGTTCCCAAGTTCCTACACCTACTCCGGCCTAGACAATACCACCAGTTCTCACATGAAAATCTGCCTCAGTCTGTTACACTGGAATTCTGATCCGAGTAGTAAAGTTTTTACATTGAGTAAGAAAACTCAATGTGAACAGTATTTGGTTACCGATAAATCAAACTTTTCAAAACTGTCAACTACGATGGGAATCACGTTCTCTTCACCTGTTAACATTACCCCTTTGTCCAAACTCATTATCGGTTAGAACAGATTTGCAATGAACATACCTAATAACTCAAAATATAGCCATTTCAATATATAACGGTTTCCTCTATTATTTAAGGTGAAGGCATTTATTAATGCGTTTGAACCTGTCAAAATCATAGGTGAGCTGATACCCAATCCCAATCAGCGAAATCTAGTAGATCGACAGAGACCCATACAATACAAGACTAACAGTCAGCCTACAAATTGTGGGAGAGTCCATGTGGACATGGATCGAGATACACACACTTCATATATGCATGCTCATGGAAGTAAGATAAATTAACAAACTACTGAAATTCAGAATACAGTTTTCACCCCCATTTTAATGTTATCCGTAACATCACACTTTTCGTGAGGTTATGAAAAGCATACACATCCCTTGTAACAGAACTTAAAATAAATTTGGGAATAAATGAGCTTCAGTAAAATCCTGAATCATCATCAAATAATGTATAAATGCTATATTTACCAACCCCAACACTTCAGATGTAAAGACAAGAAGTACAAAATCGCAAATAAGTTGATTATTACATCCGGGAAACTTCAAAAAAAAAGGACAAATATACAGTGGACATTGTTTCGAAAATGAAAAAATATGCTTTGGGGGAGGGGGGACAAGGGGAGGGGCATTTGAAGGATATGGGCATATTCAATGAGAACTAGATTATAAGTATAAACAACACGCAACAAATACGAGCACATTTCCATAACACAGCTGCTCGATCAAAGAATAGTAGAATTGGACATACAGAGAAAGGTATTCACATATGTGAAGATATAAAGTCATAATATCGATAACCGTACACATGGTAAATAACATAATTTACAAGTTCACATAATGTCAAATGTAAATAGCAAGATAAAGAAAAATTCTAATGATTCAAGCAAAGTACAAAGGGGTAAAAAGGAAGTCTAAAAATAGAACTAATTCAACAGAGAAAAGATTTTAATTCTATAAGAGAGCCTGATCAAGAACAAGGAAGTACATTCATAATTTATGAAGATAAAACCACAGCCAGAAACGATAAAATAAGGAGTAGGGTGTGATTGAGTGTGTGATTTCGAAAGGACAAGTAAGATACAGTTGTAAACAAAAAACACTAACAAGAAAAAAATATGAAGAGATCTAAAACTTCATGATTAACGCAAAGGTCATGGAAATAAGACTTCAGTTTGATTTGTTTATCAAAGTGAATAAAAGTGTGAAAAAAGATTTAAAATAACATATTTCCCTAAGAATATAAAATTTGCAACACACTACATAAGATAACATTAAAAAAAACATCAGAGAGTTGGAGGTAACATGCGTACATCTGCTCATAAGGACAGACATGTAGCGTATATTATTGAACCAAGGACGTTCTGAAAACATATCGACAAAATTACATAGTTGGCACAAGTTGAATAAATTAACTGAAGATAAAAGAACACTTTACAATAGGGTAGGATAGATAGATAGATACTCCAGCGCACTGACTGAAATTTTCACCAAAATGAAAAACGCGAGGGAAATGACTTGACAAAATGCTATATACGCAACAATCAATAACAAGCAAGAAATGTTACGATCACCGGATAAAGTAGTGTTCAACTTATACACAACTCAACAGGAAACCATTCATAAGCTAACCAAGTATCGATTGCTACTGGAACGTCGAAAAGAGTTTGGGCCTCGCTGCCAAATGGGAAATAATGACACACAACGGCGCCAAAAATACAGTTTGACAAAGGATGTGATCTAACAACATTTACGAAGTTAATAAACAGTTTTACAAGGAATACAGCAAACAAAGTAGTGGGAAGAAAACAACTCTGGTCCTGATGGACTATTTCATTTCCCAAGAAGTGAATAAATTCAATAAAAAGATTGGTCGTAGACATAATAACGGGGGATTCATCTTTTCTAGTGTTCATAAATGTACAAAACGGCTTATTCCGGGAATGACAGAGATACGTTCATACATAGTTCAGCATACACTGGAACAGTTACAGTTAGCAAATTGTAGTTGTATCAGGAAGCTGGAGGCAAGTAAGGGATTGACAGCTTGTAGTGTTTGCGTACACATGTTGGTGGTACAGCCTGGTAAGATTAATCTGATCACTGATTGAAAGCTTAGGGCGTAGAAGTTGTGATGTATTACAGCCCATCCCTGCTCAAATAATCCAGCAGGTTAATTGTTTAATGTACAGGATTGGATGAAAATTACTGACTGTAAACTGTCCCATGTGTCGATTGTGGAGGAAAGAGATAGTCACTGCTACCTTCGTAGATCAAGTACCACAACCTGAAGAATTAAAATATATTGGGAGATGAAAATAATAAAGCATAACAGAATCTTCAATTCATGGGAAAGAAAAATGAAAAATACTTCTACAATTAATATTTTGTAGGAAGCAACAAAACAAGGATTACTGAAAAAAGAAACTTACAGAGCCATCCGATGCACTAGCTCCAACTTTATCTCCTCGTGAATTCCAGCAAACTTCGAAAATGCCGCCAGTGCCCTGATAGCTATTTATAAGGTTTCCGGACTAAAAAGATAAAAGCAAATAAGACAAAACTGAGTATACTGACACTAAATGACGAAATAAAATGGGGTTTGGTTGACTTTTATCGTAACTGTATAAGTTATACATCAAAAAAGCTACTTGTACTGTGTAAAAGGATATTTATGACGTACAAAAGTGAATGGAATCTTTGAATTTTAGTCGATCAATAATAAGGCTAATTATCTTAAAGGTAATGACATGGAATAAGTCATATCGATTTGTAGCTGTCACAGACAAGACTATGTGATTTAACAAAATTTTTATCTCTCCAAATAGGTAATAGAGCTACTGAAAATATTTAAGTGGTTTTTACACAAGCAATGGTGAAAGGTTAGAACCGTAAGATAACTACAGCAACAAACACTCCATTAATAGATAGACATAACATACGTAAATAGGTCATAACATCTCCTGTGACCTTTATGTATTATGAGGTACAAAAGCATATATTCAGACTGATTTTTTGCTAGTCAGCCATAGCTAAAATTATACCGACCAATCAGATACATGTAAACGGAATGATCGATAAAATATGTGTGGCCCACAAAGACAGACAGGTCTTCTACCTGGTTAAAGGATTATGAATAGAAGGAAAAACGAGGAAGAAGTTAACACACGATGGATAGATGATAATCAAGAACAGACAGAAATTAACCAAGGATATTTTACCAATGTTTACAGTTCAGACAAAAAACAGCTTAGAAAAAATTAGGAAAAATACAATTATATGCATGGAAAGCAAACTGGTTTAGTCAAGTCGACACCTTAGTTCTTTTTAAGACTTGAAAAGAAGCTAAACGGAGCTAAACACTACTGACTGACTGGTTTCGACATAGAACTTCGCACCGATGTGCAGCAGTTCGAGTCACCACACTCCATGTATCACACAAAGTAATAGAAGAGAATAGAGAGAGAAATTCAAAGCAGAGAATTGAGGCAAAAAGAATAGTAATATCGAAGAACAATAGTTTTATTGGGTATTATAAGTAGTCACAAGGAGTGGATGCATCTGCGCCAGCCATTGAGAACGATTTTTACCGTACTGAGGACCTCAACCAGTCAAGAAGTCCACACCTTTCCACGTGGTTTAAACTAGCTGTCGAGGATTTCACTGACTGATGTGGCCATGTTTGGCTTTGACCACCAGTGACTCTTTCCCAACCTGACCCTATGTCAGCTAACATTGCCCGTCGAGGAAGGCGATGGCTAGACATACGTAACACATGTCCTAACAATCTCAGTCGGTGTAACTTCACGGCCTCGTCTATTGATTTACCCTTCTTAACCAGCACGCGACGCCTAACCTCAGTATTCCTCACCCTATTGTACCACTTTACACAAGAGACAGAACGCAGGCATCTATGATAAAAGACAGATAGCCTTTTCATGTCTTCCACTCTCAATGGCCAAGTCTCACGGTCATAAAGGAGGACGGAGCAGACTGCTGAGCAGTACACACATCCTTTGGCGGATAGCCGGATGTCACTAAGCCAAAGACGGCGTAAACTGGCATATGCGAAACGAGCTTTTTGAGATTTTGTCAGCGAACAACCTGTTGGGGTTGATACAGCTTCCCAAATAAGTGAAGCAGTCAACGTGCTCTACCACTTCACTCCCTATTTCTAAGCTGAGTCAATGTATTCCAGTCCTGTAGCATTATCTTGCAATTCGCTCCCGGAAATTGCATGCGGAACATACGCAGATAGTGAAACACTACATAGTGATATTTCTACCATAAATAATATGTAGAAATCAGAGTCAGTAAAATAATGAGTGACTTGTCTATTACTGTGTTAATTGCTATTCCTTGAGAAACATCTAATTGGGAAATGAATAGAACAGTATAATTTTCATTAGAAATATCGTATGAAACAGTAAAGTGCTTATCCAGTTCCCATGTAGATGCTGTAAAAAGTCCATTATCACATCATAAAATGTGAAAATGCTATTTATCAAAAAACAGCTGAATGTTACAACAACATGTAGTATACTAAATGAACTTAGGTGGTAAACACGATTGAATTACAAGATAAGTATGTACATACCCTAATGTGAACGCGTTAGTCCTTCTGATTAAAACGTATAATTATGCCCTGAAACGACACTTTGTACAAGTTACCTGCAAATTAACTACCATCATCATGTCCGACCATGGGTTGAAGACCTACTGAAAGACACAGAGTAATGGGCAGCTCTTTCGACCTAGCTTGGGACTTTTCAGCAGCACTGACTCATGACCCCACCTCTGGAAGTTGAACTCAGACTCAAGCCCCTTAAGCACCTAGCCATTTGGGACGGGATCTAGTGGCCCATGAATTCAAACTTCTTTTAATTCGCGATTCTAGTGTAGCGAGCAGCCAGCATCATCGGCGAGTATTTCTCCTCACACCAGACTTAATGGACCTGGTAGGTTAAGACTTCTCGTTACAATTCCAGGTAACAAAAACAATCTATTTTTATTCTGCTGTTTCTGAAATAGACCTGACTTGATACGTAAATGAAGAAACTTGCTTAGAGTGGTACAGTGCCAGAAATACAATACCATTATTAAGATAAATCTGTAAGAAACTCTTGTATCATCAACGGTTATTAAGAGAAGATTTCAAATATTCACGAAGCAGCGCCAACATAATACAATTAAACCTAAACAAAATGAAAAAGACTTACGTCAACATTCCATATATGAACACATTGGTCGAATGAGCCTGTTGCTAACAGGCGACCGTCAGGACTGAATGCAACACTATATACAGGTTCAGTATGTCTTGATAATATCCGTCGGCATTGCCCTGTTTCAACATCCCATAACCGGACAGTTGAATCAAAACTGGCACTAAAAAGCGTACACACAAAAAAACAATGGAACAAGTCAATGAAGCAAAATGTTTCGTACTTTGTTATTTATTATGATACAAGAATGACAAACATCTGCTGTGATTCAGTTAGCGTATTTAGACAACAAGAACTTCAAATCTGCATTCACCTTAAGAGAGTTTAATCTGCATTTTCGAAAGGCACATCATGAACAACCACAGAAACTACGTCGTTCACAACGTGAATTATCCAGCACTCTGAAAGCAATGGTTTAACATAGAAAGGTAGTGGATTCACATACATGGCTGCTGTATTTCCACTCAGATTGACAGACAGCACATCCTGAAAACCGTAACATGTATTTCAATCACTCATATAACGATATTACAACGACTGTATCACCGAACGCATGCAAAAGCTCAGCAACAAGGATAATATACAAGCACTTGACAAGATAATGATTATATGTAGTTGTGCGAATTTTAATCCTATTTAAGTACTGTAACCCAACAGTTGAGATGAGAGACAGTTTTAAAATCAATGGACATACTTTGAATTGTTATCTATAAACACTATTATTACTCATGAGTTTAATTGTATTGCACATTTTGCAAACTATGGTACACAAAACCATATTTCTGACCTCAAAGAATACAGTTAAATACTATAGGACTACTTCAGAAAAAGATTTATTGAGACAGAAATAAGCGTTGAAAAGTAGGTCTATTTACACCTACATATGAATGTAGAAATGAATTTTTGAAACTACAACACAATGAAACAGTAAGAATAGATACGACCAAGTTATATTTAGATTAAACGTTAAAATAAAAATTAACTACATGTAAATCAATAAAATCTAAGTTGTCTGTCACATACCGGTCATAACAACATTCATTTAGATAGACAGACAGACATACTATACTAGTCTGCCTGTTAAGCCACCTGACTTGCATTAACCAACGACGATTGCCCTTCCGTCTGGTTTTATATATATATATATATTTTAAATATATATATATATATGCATATATATGTATATATGCAAAGTAAGACAGACTTCGGACTTAACGATCGATCTAGACAATAAATAGGGGGTTGTTTTGTAAAATCAATACGTGTTGTAAGTACTCTTCGATCAGAACTTTTTCATTGTTGTAACAGCCAATGAAAACAATCTTGGATACAAGTAGTAAAGAAATTTTCATACGCTTGATTGGAGCGAGTATTTATCAAACAACATTTGTGTGGTTATAAAATGAAAACAATTTCGTGGAAAAATGAAACACAGGTACACTATAGAGATTTGTAACAAGAAGAGTATAAGTTAAGGAGGTGAAGGATGGTAGCTAAATCATGAAACAAGCATACCTGCAAAGTTAAAACCATGCATTGAAAAGGAAGAGAAATAACGAGAATAACATCATTCTAGGTAATAAGTAATATACAAGAAACTTAGGAGATAAAAGTGGATTAACAGAAATTACTCTCATAACTCGATACAAACAGAATCTTAATAAGGTTAAATACGAGGAGACATTCTAGTGTGAGTGAGGTAGATTTCTTCTGCTAATTCAAGAAACGGACACAGACTTCTATACAGTTTAAGAAACTTAATAAGACTACAGTTTCTGGTACTCAATCATATTCTGATATTTGTATTAAGGGCAATATTCAGTGACTATAAAACAGTCAAAGCATCCATCAAAGTCCTACAACAGGAGGTCCATCAATAGCCCAAATAGGCTGGTGATAACGTCTTTGACCGCAGTACTGAGTGGCTGGTGTTTGAATCTCAGTAGGGATATGAATTCCTGCAAGATTGCAGATATGCCTCACCGACCAATACCAACAACTACCAAAAATAGGTTCAAGGCTTTCTGCCGGCTGCCTCGACCATCTAACAACAATTCTCAGTGAACTGTGATGGCGATCCACCTATCACGGTGGCCACAATACAAACTTGACTGATAGAATTCAGACTGCACCAACACCAAAGACTAGACGTATAACATTTATTACCACCCAGTTTCCAGTTAGAGTACACATTCTGAAACATTTTGTTCGTCTTTGCATAAAACTATTTCTAGTGAATTTAAAAGTTACACTAACATATGATTTAAATACCCTCGTAGCTTACTCACAATACGAATAATTACAATGAGCATAAAACCGGTTGGTAAGACAAAATTATTGCTTTCATTACTCACCTAGCGAGACTAAGCGGAGCGTTAGCAAACGCTGTCCCGGGGCCAGTGGGACTCCACTTAATAGTATAAATCTCCTTTGTATGACCTCGAAGGTCATGTACACATCGATCATGATGCATATCCCAAACTTTTAGTGTCATGTCATCAGAACACGAGGCTAAAAGTCGACCATTGGGGTCCCATTTAATCGCGTTGACTTCATTCTGCAGAGATATAGTAATAAAAGTGTACGGAGTTAAATGATTTATATTGTACATTCCACTTATATTTTAAAAATGCTAGACATGCCTAGTAATGCAATAAAATAGAATGCATTGGAAATCAACCATTTGTGATGAAGTCAAATGAATATTTGGTAAAACTTCAGTAGACTTAAACACAGTTATGTAGTTAGGCTATTTACATACCTTTGTCTGAAATACGTTCTTAGAAATCATTCTAATAGATTCCCGATGTACCTCAATCACAAAAATTTGTAGTGTACAATGGATAATTTTTTAAGTTAATTTAATATCAGATAATGTGATTTGTAGGTGAACTAATTTTTTTTCATCTCATTGCTGTCCAGTTTAGTAGAGGACCACTGAATACATAAATTCAACACCAATGCAAATTTATGCATTGACTAAAACTAGATGGTCAAAAGTGTTCGCTTACCTCATGACCTTGGAATGTTTTCACAGGAGATGAACAGCCTAACTGACAGACATGGATATTTGTGTCTGTTGAACAGGATGCAAAACTGTCTAAGGATTGCCAATCAACATCCAATGTAGGAGCTAGGGGAAGGGGAAAACAAAAAGAAAGTGCACGATTGTGTCAAGAAAGTATTTGATACTTTAACTGTTCATGATATACACTTCAAAGCGTTAAATGATCCACATTCGAGTACAATGGGCTTCACTACATTGACAAATATTAAATTGATCTTGTAAAGATCAACACCTTGTGAGTTTGAAAAATATAAACAAACTTATCCAGTTAAAACAGAACACTTCTCTTTAGTGTAAGCACGACTGTAAATCGTACATCCCAAACTATTTGATTTTTTACACTCAGCTACTCAGGTAGAGAGATGCAGATTGTTTGCCAGTGGTCTTCAGAAGGCTGAGGAGCTTATTTTGTATACTTTTTGAATATTTCAAATAAAAGCGAGACAGTTCTATGATGAGTCGTGATAAATGTGAGTTGCAATATCTTCTTGTTGCAGTGTTATATGACACATCATACGCTAGAACAAAATAGATGCTTAAATGAAACGTGGAATATAGTGCTTTTGTAGAAGGGGCTAAATGATCGGGAAATTATGTTAAAGATATTATATAGCCTAGGATGCAATGAATCGTCCAAAAGGAAAAGGATGGATAGCTTCGTTCGTTAATAACAAATATTGATTGGGGGAACACAGTCAATTATTATGCATGTACACAATAGTTATAAATTCTGAATAATCACATGAACACAGTAAAATGGGGAATTAATGAACTTACCAACATGGAACGCAAACTGTTGCGCGATTCGGCCAGTTTGTGCCTCCCATATGATGGTTGTCTGAAAGGAAGAAAGGTATTTTATGCAGGCGTTACATGAATATTTGCTTAGTCAATTAGTTAGTTTTAGATAGTCCTAGATAGATGATAAAGCCATCACACTAAAAACACTTAATGATGTTTAATGTTTAACATGAATCAAGCTAGATACATTATCGATTGGAGAATAAATATTTTACCGATACGCCTGAGAAGTGATTCGTAATTATGGTCTTCAGGAACTGACTTCACAAAAAGTACTTATATTCCTCCTAGAAAACTTAGCACGATCTGTCATAAAGATTTGTAAATGGGACTATTTCTGACTTTTACAGCTTTTCTCAATACTGTGAAGAGTTTACGAAAATATTAGATAAGTATTACCAGTCAAATAAATTGTGAATCAAGTTTACATAAGGTTTGAGTGTATGTGAATCATACCTGGAAAAACTTCCATCCATTTTGTTTCGGCTTTGTAATAAATCATAACTGGGAGAGAGTAGTAATCAAATCAACGGATGAATAACGCCTGATCTAATTTGACGACCTTTCATGGTTTAATGAAAAAATTAATGTGTACTCAATACAGCTACACAAAAATGGTGCAAAAGTCAAGTAAGTGGATTAATGAACTACGGCCTACGAACATACCAAATTAGAACACAATTAATTAATAAAAACTAAATTTTTTCCCATACTCAAGATCATATAGCCATAAAGGATAGACAACAGGGAACTTTGTCAACGGACGAGCCAGCCAAGAACCTATTGCGCAACAACTATGTCGAAGGAAATGGAGATGTTTGGGACATACACTGAGGTGGCAGTCGAAAGACATCACACGTGCCAGGCAGAACCCCAAGTGGAGCCCGAATGAGAAACGATGGTGACGTGTGGAGCCAACTGAAAACGACTGCAGAGAACAAGATGAAATGGAAATATGCTGTTAAAGCTCTATGTTCCACTCGGAACTTACGAGAATACCAAAAACAAGGTTTTCTTTTACAGAAAAAATGCATTAACTATACTCATCTACGGAGGATACATTTTCAACAGTGAATGCCTATGTTGACAGACAAGTCTTCATAGTAAATATTATTCCATAAGTTCACAAATCCAGGAAATTAATAAGTAGAATGTAGAGTGTCATTCAAATGGGAATTTTGAAAGCTCTGAAAGAAAATGCTCCAGTATTATACAATTATCCATAAAGTTTTAAGCTTTTCACCTAACAATCAAAAATTTAGGTATGATAACAATATAAACCACATAGAATGATAAATTAACGAGCTAACCTTATCCACTCCGGCTGTGAGGATATAATTTCCTTTCTTGTTCCATTTCAAGGCGAAAATAGGTCCTTTATGTTGGCCAAGAGTTGTTGCTAATCGACCTGCAGCAAAGTAGAATTTATTTTACGTTATTTATTTATCACAAAGAAGACGAATTCTAACTCCAATTCAAGTGCACGATAAAAAAAGTAAAGAAGAAGAGAATGTCTAGAGAATAACACAAGCATAAAAACTAGAGAAAACTGCTTCTACAATGAAGACAAATAAAATTATGATTCTGGACAGACGGAGATGATTAGCAGGAAGCCATGGACACAGGTTTCGTGCTCGTATCTTGAAAAACTATTTCAAATTATTGGATTTCAGGAGATAAGGATTTATAGCTAACGACATCGTGAAGCAGTGAATCAGATTAGCACATTTACGATGCCAATAATTTTTTTTAATCTGGTTGTAAATACAGTTAAAATAGACAGTCAGACATCGAGAAAACTATAAGCGTGTTAGCACAGCTTCGGTTTATTAACTAACACACAATGACTACAACTAGCATGTCATCAGAAATCAGTTTACCAGCATTGACATATGTCATAAATGATCTTGATAATTTTAACAATCCCTTTCTTGTAAATAAAATTGTACCTCAGTTAATTATGGAGATGTGCAAAAAGAAAAATTCAATTTGTCAGTCAAATTCTACTACTGGTATTGATGTAGTAGTTATTTGCAGATGGGACAAATCTGTTAGATTTGCCGCCGAATTACATGTTTACATCGCTGATGTTCATAAATAAATTTGGCAGAATTTATATATTTTCCTGGATGACTGATACTAACAGTTTGAATTCTATTTCTTAGTCATGTTGTGAATAACACTTTCGTTTGTAAAAGGAAATCTAATGAGCTTTCTTATTGTATACACATACAAAAGAGTGTTTAGTGTGGCTTAGTACTTAAGGAAACAAAATTATATCAATTACTAAACTCTACAGAGATGAAAAACAAAAACAGTTAAAATTGAAAAGTGGCTGAAAATCCAAGTATTGTAATAATAAACCTTCTACTCGAATAATGCTGAATAAACTTTGTTGTAAAGTTTAATAAGGCAAGAGTTGGTTTATTTATGTGATCCCTATACTTTACACCATAGTAAGATCAAAACTTCGGCTCCTTAATCTACTTAAACATCAGTATTTTCAATTATTCAGTTTCCTTCCATATAACAATAGCACCGCTTTGGTGATATCTATGGACAAAATGCCTGTAACCACACCGTTTACTCTTTATGGAAGAGGATGAAGTGACGTGGCGGTCGGATGCCCTGTCAGCAGTAAACACTAGGCGTTGCAACAATGATCAAACTTTAACAGTAAATACCTTATTAAGGCAAACTTATTGACCTTTTCAAATACTAATGACTGCAACGAAAAGAAGGCTTGTGCTGACCTACAATGCTGGTAGTCTTGTTATATGGTATTCAACATAACCCTTTCAGACAAAAAAGGTAGCAGAGTACAGAGTTTTTTTTTGAGTCTTGAATCAAAAAGAGTATAATCAAGATACTTTATGAATTCATCAGGTGTAAGAAAATTCTGGAGGACTAATGTGACACGGTATCTGACTTAACAAATGAGGAAAACAATTGACTGAGTATCATAGAAATTTACATGAGCATTAATAGAGTCAGTTGTTAGCGAATTCTTCGTATGAATACACAAAGTCACCACAGCAATTCTTCAACTGTTCCACCTATGTCATCACCAACCGGACATTGGGAAATAACTGTTAGATAGTATACATTGCAAACCAGTTCACTTGTTCTAAGCTGTGAAACATACTCATTGGAGAAGAATGTCAATAGGTAACAGATGTTCTTTATCACACAGCCGGGTAATTAGAATTTGAGTGAGTTTTCCCCCTTCTAATCATTATAAGTTCTAGTCCTGTGACAGATTTTCTTAATGAAGTTCTATTTTATCTGATGCACATATTGATATCTCTTATTAATATATGTGTAAAACTTGGGCACCGTCGTCGTATGTAGTTTCATACTAATTTGTTTATTAAATATATCACAGAGTGAAGCAGTATTATTTAGTGGATGACGTTTGAAACTGAATAATGACCCTGATAGATTAATCAGGAAATATGTAAGAAAATGTGAAAATAAAATATATAGTAATAGTGGTGATAGTGATGATAAAAATAATATTAATGACGACATGCATGTCAAACAAGTACAGAATAATGACAACACCAGCAATGGGGAATTTAAATCATCAACTGTACTTCCATACAAAGAAGGGTCCTCGAAAACCTTACATAGAATTCTTAACAATGCAGGAATAAAAGTAGCTGGCATCCAAACCCACAAATACAATTAGAAACAAGCTATGTTGGTTAAAGGATCCTGTAGAGCCAATTAAACAAGACAATTTAGTTTATCTAATATACTCTGCAATGATTGTCAGATCAAATACATAGGTCGAATTAGTAGAACGGGGTCAGTCAGACTAGCGGAGCACAAAACCTATCAAAATCTACATTAGTTGACCCGAATGAGATAAGAAATCTGCAGAATAGTTGAGCTATAGCACTAGATACAATTACACACAACCATACAATAGGATGGGATGAAATGACAGTTTTAAAATCTTAATATCACAGGGTGGAGGGAGAGATTGATAACAGAGGCCTTATTTACCGAGTCAACTGCAAACACGTGTAATAGGAATGATCCAACATCTGTCCCAGACATCTGGAAAATTCTACTATCCTTATGACAAATAGGAAAGAATAAAGAAAACTATCAAACGAAAGTTTCGAACTCGTGTGATTATAATTGATATGATTATGAACAATAAATTGTATTCGAAACCTCATCCAGTAAATAATACTGTTTCACTGTGTGACATATCTTACAAACAAGCTAATAAACCTTCAGTTTTCAAAAGAGAATCACGACAAGGGGAAATAGACTGCATGAATGATTAGTACAAAATCTGTGAACGAATATTTCCTTATAACTTAATGTTATATTTATAAGCTAGTGTGTTCACAAGTAATTTAACAATGTAACCAACTTACCATCAGTATTCCATACTCGAGCAAATCCATCATATGATCCGGTGGCTAAGAAACTTCCATCAGACTGTAGAGGAAGATAACAAATAAATAGTCAGATAACAAGGTATCATCTAATTGCTTTAACAAAACACAAGACTATTCGCCAACTATTAATCAAATACAGTAAGTGGAAAGGCAAGAGAAACTATTCTTCCTCAAAGGACACTACAGTACACATTTTACAAGGATCATTGATTGACTGATTGAGTTTCAAAATGGAAGTGCAGCAATTTAAGTTGTCACATCCCTTGTAGCATACACAGGTACACAAAAGAGATTCAAAAGAACCGTAATAAGCATAAATGTGAGGGAGAAAGAACAATAACATGATAATCTAGTGAATAGGGGATGTCACAAAGAGTGAATGCATCGGTACCACTGAGAACGACTTTGAACCATATCACCAATAGCCTCCAGTCATTGGTTGTTAGAATCCTGAGGACCCCGGTCAGACAGACTAACACCTCCTTATGGGGCTCAAACCAATTGACAATGACCTTACGGACTGATTTTAGGTTCTCGTTTGACCACCACTAGCACTTTCTCAACTCTATCCCATGTCAGCTAACATTACCCGTTGATGAAGGTTATGGCTAGGCGTGTTACACATTTCATAGCCACCTAAATCGATGTAGCTCCACAACATCGTCGGTTGACTTTCCCTCCTTACCTAGAACTCGGCGCCTTACCTCAACATTACTCACCCTATTATATCACCTACCTAACGAGGGAAATAGGACGCAGACATCTATGAACAAAGACACCTAGTCTTTTCATTTCTCAAATTCTCAATAGTCACATCTCACACTCATAAAGGAGGATAGAGCGAACTGCTGAGCAGTACACACGCCCTTTGGTCGACAGCTGGATATCACGTCTATGCCAGAGATGGCGAAAGCCACACGAGCCTTTTGTATCCCATGCTGACATTTCATCCGTCAACCAGCCCACTGGGGCTAAAGTGGTCAAATATGCTCTACCACTTCACTCCCTTTCTTTAAGCTAGGAGTTTATGTAGCCCAGTCCTGTAGCATAATCTTACAACTGACAGGAGCGAATTGCATAAAGATTCGAAGACTGCTGCTCAAGGAGTTCAGAGGATTCTGCATTTTACCAACAACATCTACGAGGAAAATATCATCAGTATAGTCTAGTTCGTGAGTTAGAGTCAATTTCCACTAGTACATATATATGATGAAATTATATAGAAGTGGGTACAATGTGCATGCCTGACGGACACCAATGGTTGTCATAACTTCAGATGGTAACTTCCTCTTAGCTGTTACACGGTTTCGTGAGTTCGAATAGTGGCTTGATTAGTGAGGTATACTTCCTGGACACTCCCTTTAACGCCCAGACATTGTCATAGTACCTCTCTTGATCGAGCATCCCCTTCAGGTAGAAATATGAGAAGTGTTATATGCTGCCTATGCTCCAGAACGTGTCGAAGAGTGAAGGTATGATAAATACATTCTCTTTGTGGTCTAAAGTCTGTCTAGTTTTCTCGGTTTATTTCTCCCGAGAGGCACTCAATCTGTGCATGATTATTGAATCTACATCTCTAGATACTATATTAGTCAAGCTTATCCCCGTATGATTACTACAGGAAAACTTGTCAGCCGTATAAACTGGGGTGATCAGTGACTTTTACACCGGTCTAACGTAACTACCTCTGATTCTCAGAGACATTTCCTAACACCTTAGTCAACCTGGACAGCAGTTTGCCACCATAGTACCACCTCACTAGTGGAAAAATAAAAATCTTTAGCAGTGTAAGGCGAAAGAAGCAAAACTTTCGGAAAAATAGCACATAACCGTAAAACTTTGTTGTTAAAGTCACCAATCTAACTAAGTAGCAGTATTAAGTATTGGAAGTGTATATTATTGATACTTTAAACTAACACAGTACAGAGCTAAATGAAATTAGGAAAGCTTGACAGTGATACCTTGCTTATTCTACATCAATATAAGTAATTTGCTATCTGAATGGGTACTTATAGAAAAACAATGAAAGCTATGAAGAAGAGAAATTTCGATCGACAAAACTGTTTGGAGAATCATACGTAACACGACGAAAGACATATCACAATGACAACTTTAGGAACTAATAAACAGAAAGTGAAGTAAGTAAAATATGAAATGTTCACCCATAGACTGCTATTATTAATTGGTGAAACTAGAAAAAAAATACTAGATTTCTGTTATGTGCAGTAATAAGTTTGACACAAACCTCTGACCCGAGGGGAAGACATTTTTCGCCTAACCAAAATCAATGAAATGCATTATTATCTTCACTACAGCAGTATAAAGAAAGGACAAATAAGGGCATAGTTGGAAAATGGAAGGGAGTGACCAGTATACACATTTTTTTGTAAAAGCGATGAGTCATCAAAAAATGGACAGGGAGAAAAAGTTGTTTTACAGACCAGAAGAACAATAAGGTGACTAATAAACAAATCCATAGACCTAAAAGTCGCTGCTAAGCAGAAAAATCTATTCTCACTTGTTGAATAATTTCTCCGCACAACATATGGAATCAAAATCATAGCCAAAAAAAATGACTTACATTCCAATCCAGAGATGTAACATCTTTATTACTCAACACTGTCTGACCATCAAGATTGACCCAATGTGTCAGAACTAACTGTGGGACATGGTGAGGATTTGTAATGGGTTCTTCAAGATTCCATATTCGTGCGGTAGAATCTCCAGACCTGTTATAATAGGAACAAGAAGACAATTTACGATAAATAAACCAATTTGGCTTAAAAAAGGGGAACATTAAGTCAAGAGAGAATAATAAGCTAGTATTATATGAAGACTAAGAAAGAACAGTATCAAAACGGCAATCAACAAAATACAACATATTTTGCCGCTTATGATAAAAACAACGGAAACCTGACTACGCGAGAATTTAAACGAATAAAAATGTCTTTTCTTTTTCGCAAACAATGTGAACACATATTACGGGAATAGAAGCATGGCCTAGAGCTGTGGGACTAAATCTCAGGTCCCCCCCCACACCTCACCCCAGTATAGCTTCGTCGCCAACCATAACACAAACAACGGTGTAGTTGCTCATTGACACTACTATTTGTTTCCAGATGGTATGCTAGTTGTAAGCTCTATCAAACACAAAGGCGAAAATCCAATTAAAGCCGTTGAAGTTTAACTTCGAATTGATTTTTAGACAGCCAAACAGTTAAGCAATAAATTGATGTATGTGACTTACAAAAACACCAAATATGACTGCAGTCTCATTATAAATCATCCCCCACAAGTGAGTAGAGATAAGTCTATAAGATTATGTGCAAATCAATCCTCTTGCTTGAAGTTACCAGTCAGAATGTTTGGTTTAAGTGTTAATCTTCAAAGTAAAGTACTGAAACCAGTCAGGCATGACTTATCTGGTGCACCATAAACAAAAAACTTAAGACTATATTTAAAATTTGAATATCAAACTTACCCAGATGCCAACATATCATTTCGGGGATTCCATGCACAGATAAAAACTTCTGACTGATGACCCTTAAGGACGGTAATCCGCTCAGGTGGGATTTGTCTGGCGAGTAAGGGTGATGTATTATTTACTTCGGTAACGTGTACTCGATCAACTTCCATAGGATCGTTACCCCGATAATGGTTGACTGTGAAGTGAAAACAACAGCATATAATATACGTTAAAATCGAAAGAACACTTCATAAATCATTTTGCCTTTCTTAAAATCACATATATAAAAATCAACTGTGATAATAATCTTGACATAATCGATGTAAAAATCACAACGAGGCAGCTGCACACATGTTTCAGCATGCACAAAGAACTGTACACTTTGATGTAATTATAATTATCAAAAGACGTATAGCAGGTTACCCTAGTAAAAATTCTTTAGTTTTAATTAACATGTGGGTGATAGACTGGTACCTACGCTTAAAGTAATAGCTAAACGCAATTGACTAATCCGTTATATGTAGAAGGTAAGTAGGAGTCAATGACCATAAGTAGTGGTACTGCAGCATCTAAGACAATTGATGCGATCCTTACAGGAATACAGAGGGAAGTGAATCTGCAGATATCAGTGTTAATGATCCAGCTCATGATAAGATGGACATGAATATACAACATATATATTGTTTCCTTGGGTTTCGAGTAAAATAGGGCACATCGCCATTTCATTCTATTCTCTGGAGTCCATTTTAGCAGACTGTGTTATGCCTCATAAGCTTCGATTTCAACATCACACGATCGCCTTTATGTCAACCTTACACCCATGCCTAACTCATCCTTTTCCATTCTAGTTCCATTTGAGGTTTTTCACGACGCGGGGAGTCACTCAACGTGTGCCCAATCCATCCCCATTTTTTTCTGCATATCTGCTGGGTAACAGGTTTTTGGTTAGTTCATTGCCAGAATTCAATTCTGACCTGATCTTTAGGCTGCAGCGAAGGCAGCTATTGGTAAATCTGCAGCCCGTTGAAAATCCTTTTGTTGATGTGCGCGCCAAGTCTCTGAACCAATTAGAAGCACTCAGTTGATATTAGTGTTGAAAATCACAATCCTGTTCCGTATGGTGAGTGCAGTAGACTTTAACACTGATCTCAGATTAAAGAAGGATCGTTTTGCTTTTCCATTCCTGCCCTCGACATCCATGACATGACATGAAGAAAACCCTTTGATTTTTGTCTTCTGATGTCTAGATTTCCCCATCCGGCGAGCTGGAAACAGATCCATTCAACACCCCCCCCCTGAATGGTTTCGTAATAACCACATATGTAAGTAATTTGAGCAGATAGTTCAACAATATCTACCACAAAAATGGACAATATATGTGTTCGTTATTCCGTTGACGTTTATGGATAATACGTTATATTCCAAACACCTAATCTAAGCTAACTGGTATTCATAAATAAGTAAGTATCAGATGAAAATTCAAGACAAAAAGTGCCTAGTGATTCCTTCATTTTGAGTTCTGGAGATAACCTGGAAAGCTTTACTTCAGGGTTCAATATTATGACGAACATAATAACGCCAGAACATATACCACTTTCGACGTGAAGAATCAACTAGCATCTGACAATCGGAGGATGCTTCATTACACATACATATTTCTACTTTGACTAGTTGATTAGTGAGAAAAGTACTTTTGTAAAGTACATTACGATCCCCTACTTGAACAATGTATTGCCGATTGGGAACAAAATTCAATTCGTACAAGGGTATGTAATGAGTTGTGCATTGTCCAAATGCAGAGAAGTTGCAAGGTTCACAAGGACCTATAACCTCTAATCATTCTCACAGGTGAATTGTTAGAAGTAGTCGAGAAGTTCACATACGCCGGCGGTTGTGTGACTGTCAGCAAAAGTGAGACAAATGAAACGTTCAAACATATAGTCACAGTTAATACAGCTTACACCAACTTGACCATATTCGGTATCGTCACACAGTTAGTCGGGTTTACAATTTTTAGATACGCCCCACGCATGTGAAACCTGATTTTTCCGAACAGAGGATACCCAGTGACTTTGCATGTCCGACTAACACCTTCTCTAAAGAACTGCTTACATCCGGTGGCGTCACACTGTAACTAATTCTCAGTCCTGAAGACATATTTGGGCAAAGCGAAGTTCGTGTTTTTACAAGTTATGTTACACTTGGACAATGTGCTGTGAATAGTATCCCAGTGGATTTCATAGCGTCCACTATGGTAGTCACTGAACCTAAAGGAAAAGGCATATCACGTGACGCAGGACAAAAGGTTGTTGTTAGTATTTATTATGTTGTACATAACTTGATGCCGGTATGAAAGAGAGAATAGCTTATAGCAACTCCAGGAACTTGATCAACAGTCTAAGACGAAGATTAAAACTACACAGGAAAGAACTACTCACAGTTGTCCTTTAACAGACAGCTTAGACCCCTTAAATATGAGAAATTCAGAATTCTAACATCCAGTGAAAAAAAGGCCTATCTGCACAAAATAAGTTTCTTGACAATGAAAGCATTTGGAGAACAGTTATCAGTCATGTGCATGTTCCCAACACCGCACTGCTTTGCTGACAGTTACAAACCCTCAGTATTGACCTAAAAAACTTCATAATGGCCTCAGACATTTTTAAAAGTGCTTGCAATTTCAATTGATCGAAGTTACTCCAAAGCTGCAAGTGAATTTCAAAACTTCAACATTCAAGAATGTACAAAAGCGCGTAGCCGCTTGTAAATTTTCTTCTCGCACTTACAGATGTTTTGATATGAGTTAAGAATTCTACCCAGAGTAACTGCGTAGTGGCCTAAGCGGCCACAACTCATTTATACATAATGCGAGTTTCCACCCTACCCCGAATACTACGAATAACCTCATTACATTACCTCACCACGTAGTACCACATAACATGAACGATGCAACCTATGGGTAAAGGCATGTAGTCTTCTTGTATTTCTTACTTTTAGCAGTGATGTCTGACATCCGCAAAGCAAAACGAACTATTTCATCAGGGCTGAAATGTCCTAAATAAAGGAAGTGATCGGAGGAACACCTTAACAACTTATTTTTCCTAGGTATTTGATACAATCAAATAACCTGGTTTTTATTAAAAATGGGTGGGAAAGATGACATGAAGCATTTCTCACTGATGTCACTCTTGATGACCATTCCTTACAAGCTAGTATACGGCCACATGATTTTGATCAGTGCGTCGACTAACTTATGCATTCACTTCATAGCTAGTTGTTACACCTCTCGATTACGAGGTATATGGAGCTTTTACGTCAAAAGCGTTAAAAATTAAGGAAATCGTTGTGTTATAGAACCGATTAATGAACGAAACTGAAATTAACACACTTCTCTGTGTCTAAAACCTATTACAGTCTCAGCTTTGTTTTAGAAAAACCTTTCGTATGCTCATTATTATACGAGTTACAATACAAAAGTACCTAAACTTAATTCCTTATTGTTACCAACGTTCTAAAGGCATCCAATAAGACTTTCTGGAAATTCCGTGGAGAGTAGGTTCATTCTACTCGTAAATGCTTCTTTACTGCCATCTTTAAATACTCCTGTAGTCAAGGAGTTACAGCCTAGCGCTTTCCCTGGTTTTAAATTTGAGGTAACTTATACAAGTGAGGTTAGCCTTGGGGAATATATGGTCACTATCACTTCAGGCTAGTTAGTTGGAGCAACTTTAACTGCATTTCTAATATTTTTCCAATGCTTCCACCGACCGCTTCGTCACTTGCCCCAGCTCTCCAATACCTGTCTTTCTTATGAGCTTGAGTAGTCAACAATTATTATATAGCACTTTTGCGACTTCTCATTCTTCTGTCTTCAACATCTACCCTTAATCATGGTCTTTTAGATAACCTTCAATAGTTTGGTATTAATGCAGTTTATCTCCCGCACCATATTAAATGATTGCTGGAATCCAGCTTCTTTTAATCACCACTTCAAATAAGGCTGTATAAACAACTTTCTATACTAGGATAGATATAACCATGTGGGAGTTTTAATCTTGGTAATTTAAGAATCCACGTCTTCTGTTTCATTGCAGTCAGTGTGTTAACGCAGATTATAAAAACACTAGTGAGTATCACTACTTTGTTTCTTCGTTATTAATTCATTTAATTATGTAAAACAACTGTCCGTTGAAACTAATAAGTTTTCTGTGACACAGCTTAGTGAAAATTTTACCTAGCAACGCCACACAAACCATTCATAAAATTCTCTGGTGCTAGCCGGGTAAATGTCCCACATTCACCACACTGGACAGATAGGATGAAGTATTCAAAGCCAAGCGATGGGTCAGGGTGCGAGAACTTGGTGGGGGCGGCTGACGTTATTCGTACGATTTATGGTATAGCAGCCGAGAAATCCAATGTGTCGAATGATTTCATGCTACCAAGGACAGCTTTCCGCTGGGCTAAAATCATTAGCAGTGTTCACAGAGCCACACACTAAGTATGGATAGGCCTAAAACACGTAAGATCTGTTCACGTAACTAACACTACACGGCCAGATTTGAAGAAAATGTACAGAGTATGGAATCAATAGTGAAACATAACTAGGATACAAGAAAGGCGAAAATGAATAGAATGGATGACGAGGGAACTAATGTTCTGTCAATAAAACCATTCGCACAGCAAACACTTGATATAAAGAGGGAATTCAGATGCGTGCGAGATTTAGCCAGGTTTAAGGATCAGATTTTCAGCTTCCATTAAACCAAGGATGCAGTTACCAATAGTTAACTCTAGCTTTTCTAGATTCGAAGTAGCATTTGATTTCGTCAAACATTCGAGATAGTTGCTAATGTCAGTATATCACATTATGAAAGGATTTTCATTCACTCCCACTTTCATGAGAAAATGATGGAGTGCTATTTAATGTGGTCATGCTGACAATTCTACATGGTATCAAATATACTGTTTGGGATGATTATCATCATATCCACTGCTGTCTAGCATAAATACATTCCAGTTAACGTAAACCCACTATGTTCATGGAAGCACCATTCAACTGTTAATCTTATGTCAGTGAATGCCTCTCTGAATACTGGTAACGAGTCTGAAGAAGTCAAACTTTTTGGCGTCCAATAGCTGGTGTAGATAGGAATGACAAAGATGGGAGTCACCTGATGCTAGTAATAAACATCAAACTAACTGGTTTCGCTAAGGCTTAGTGACTTAAATGAGCCAGGAACAACTACAAAGGAGGATAGCAGCTGTTTCTATTGCAACTCTCCTTTTTTGAGTCTTACCACTATCCCAAGAGCTGCTAAATGCAAATCCGTAATGCTTGTTGTGTGTGCGAATTTTTACTAGGCACTTAAATTTCCTGGTCACAATTGTTGATTTGGAGGAAATACTAACGGACAGGAATATGGAGACTGGAATTTTCGGTGTGAAGTCTTTATAAGATCTGAAAAGTACATTTGGGTCAGAAATTAATCTACGCAGTTTGACAGTAAAAGATGCAAAAGCCAAAGAATAAATTCAGTGTCAAATTTTTCATTCCTCGTGTCGTGATACGACGTTTTGTGTTCATGCCCTGTCAGCTTACCGACATTAAAAGACCTATGAATACGATTTAACTTGTTGGTTATTACTTCACTTGATACGTCACTTCTGAACAGAAATTATATATATATATATATATATATATATGGATAGGCTTCTTGTTTACAGATGCAGAAGTTTTCTCAACTTGATTAGCCATGAATTTCATTACGAACGTTCCTGAATAGACCTCAAATGAAGTGTGATACAATCTCAACTTTAACTTCAAAGAAACTTCAATGCCAGTAAGCCGCGGCTCATATTCCCCATAAGACCAGTAATGATACTTCAACTAAGAGATGAAGTGACTGGACTAGCGATTTCTCCCTGTACATATCAGTTCAACTATTCCTGTGGAGCCAGTTACGTTGGTCGTTACTCTATGGAATTAGCTTACCATGTGGCTTCAAAAAGGCTAACTAAACGATCAACAGTCTGACATTAGACTACCTAGTTTAAACAGGGCAAAGGTGTCTAAACACCAAATACTCCTAACACCGTATATCGCTTAAAACAATCGAAACTGCGTGAAAAATGAAGTTTTCAGCTTCCACTACCATCTTGGTCGGCTGGAGAACCTATATATACATGAATTCTGCATTATTTCTATTGAGCTAATATTTGTTGTAGTGTTACACTTATACTTATTATCACTTGAAGATGGTGAACATAGAGAAAACAGAGGTGATGAAGATTCCTGACCAACAGCAACAGTCAACAGACAACAATCAGCATAAATAGGAGAATTATGAAAGAATTAACCTCCTTTACCTAACTACCTGGGAAGCATCGTTCCATCTACAGGCAGACGGAACTGATGAGGATATCAAAGCGAGGATCAGGAAAGGAAGACAAGCTTTCATTTCTCTCACGTCTGTGTGGAGATCGACAGCACTCCTCAGAATGAAAAATAAGATCCGGATCTTCAACTCCAATGTGAAGTCAGTGCTACTTTCTATGCGGATCAGAGACTAGGCGTCTCGTCACAAAGGACACTTCGCACAAACTACAGACTTTTACCAACAGCTTTCTTCGCCCAGTACTTCTCAAGGTCAGATGGCCGGCTAGAAAAGATCAGAAACAGGGATGGATCTCTGGCAATGAGCGAACCAACCCAGCAGGAACCAACTGTGCAACAAATATGCAGGAAGAAATTGAGGTGGATTGACCATACTCTGAGAAAAACAATCATCAAGTGACGTCACAGGCCAGACTACTGCTCAAGTGGAACCCGAATGGGAAGCGACGAGTCAGTCGTTAGTGCGAGGGTGACATGGAGGAGGTTATGTGAAGAGGAGATGGAAGCATGTGGGCAGAAATGGAGCCAGGTGACAACGTTGGTGGAGAACCAAACGCAATGGAGACTTGCGGCTGAAGCCCTATGTTCAACTAGGAACTGAAGGAAACAAGAATAATCACTTGAAGATGCTTTGGAACTATAATCCATTGACTTAATGTTATTTGAAACATCAATGTTGTTGGTAACAATAATTTCCTAACAACTATTATAGAAACTGTAGAAAGTGGTGAGGAAGTAATGGAAGAATACTTTTTTGTTCATTATTCTACTAAACTCAACAGTTACCTTTAATTAAAAAACATCCCTCGGCTTTATTTTTCTTGCAAGTTGCTTTAGACGAGGTAATTCATTAACTCACACTTTGGGAAGCGTGTGATGGTGTAAATATAAACATACAGGAAATGATTTAAAAAAGTGGCATGCGAATCGCTGAAGCGAGGTGAAAAAATATAGAATGTATATTTCTGATTCATGGCAAGATAAGAAACATTCAGCGATTCCGACAAATTCGCCTTAAGTGGACAGTCTTTACCTTTCCTGATGATAGAAATCCAAAATCCTACGTCATTACAAACACCTGACCTATGTAGCAGTCCAGCGCTAAATGACGTGCAAATATAATGCCTCCTTGACTAAGTGGTCGTGTACTGACACTTGAAGAAAACCTCCCACAACATGGGTTGATTAGCACATTCTAAATAAAAACAAAAACCTAGCAAAACTCAACGACCTTAAATGGTATTTCCTGGGTTAATAAAATACTGTTTACTGAGATCTGATAAAAATGGTAAACATTACCCATTGTTCCGCTATGATGTTCCCCATTCGTCTGTATTGTTGACAGAAGGACGGACTGTGGGACATGATGAGTAGTTAGCTGTCCAGAGGTTACAGAAGACTGCTGAGAAGCAGCTGTAATTTTATTGATTCCTACTAATGGAGTAGCATTAGACGAACTTATTGGACTTAGGTTTGAAATTATTGGGACTGAGCAAACAGAAGTGGTAGGAGTTGATCTATTCACATTATTTGGTTGATTAAGCACAGATGCATTAACTGAATTTGAGGAATTATTCTGTTTATTTGTGCTTAGTGTGGATGGAGTAAATGTATTGTGTTGGTGAGAATGTGGGCGTGGTGAAATGCCTGGGGCTTCAGTTTTTATGGATGTATGACCTGTGGAACTATGTGAGCTTTCAGTTTGTGTATGTAATGTATTGGGAACAGTTGATATATCCAAAGGGAAAGAATGAGAGTTGACAGAGGATAGTAGCTGATCTGATGGGGTGGGTGTAACAGGTACATTTCCAATATGAGTACAGTTCACAGCAGATGATATAGATACACTATTGCACAATACATTGGCGGAAGTGCTTATACTAACTGCACTTGTGGACTGCTGTTTTAGGAAGTTCTTCCGTTTTTCTATAACATCCGGTACAACGGCATCAATAAGGGAGAGGGACTCGACAACACGCTCACTTCCATCCTAAGAGATAGACGTTAAGTAAAAAGCCATACTAACCTCCCCAATACTTATCTCAGCCTCAGTATATTGTAGACCTTTCTGAATCAGGCTTAACAAAGAGCCAGGGGGAACGAGGGCCCCATCAACATTTGACTGACTAATTTGGCTTTCCAGACCAAACAAGTATGCTGAGTGACAATAACCTGCAATAACATAATGTATTACTTAATGGGGAATAGCTTCAACTTACCTGATTCTTGGAGATACCTGAATATAAGAAAATTAACTTCATCAGAAGTAAAGCTCATCCCCTAGCTGGTGAAAGTGGGGAACAGTGCTAGGCGTCCGTAATATGGTAGACGTAGATTACAGTAGCAACTTAAGTTTACCTACTGAAAAACACCAAAGAGCGAATGTAAGATATGAGTCATTGACAAAAGTGTAATTTATTCTTTAACTGCCTGACATTAAGATACTAACTAGAGCATAACCATTGATTAATAAGTCAAAAACATCTTGAAAATAACGAAATTATCTGATTACCAACGTCCACATTTAAAATAGCGACTAGGTCTTTTTTAGGCGCCACTAAAACAAATCAGAGTAGTTTAAGAATTTTTCACGAAATTCTTGCTACAAAGGTCTCAAGCAGTTTTACTTTCTGCTATTCATATTTGGGTTAGGATTTCCTCGAAAGGTGACCAGACATTGAAGAAACAACGCTAAATGCCTATTTCATGTGAACATGTGTGTTAATTCACACTATAAGACCCTAAAAGAAGGGAAATTTCAGTCTGTGATCGGGATCACAAAACTAGCTCTGGAAACCCAGTGATGTCAGAGCTAATCTTAGACTTGATCTCAAGTGAAACTGCCTAAATTTTGTCCCTATTCAGCCTACTGGGAGATACTCTGCTCGATCACGCACCAGCTAATCAACTGAAAACTTCATAATTCTATGCGTGTGAGATATCTTTCTCTAAATGCCGTGTTAAACGGCTCTGAGGAATTTAAGGAAGTTCCACGTGAATTTACGGTTAAGATTTACTGCCCTTACTGTATCCACGAACTCCTTATGCCCAACAAATAATTCAGTGTACCTATTAAAGGAGCTTCTGGCTTAATATCTTCCCAAATAAGTAGTCACGTGAAGGTATCAAGTACACCCGACACACTTTCCAGATACAACATCTACGGTGAAGCTGCAGCAACATCTTCCGTAAATGAAAGGTATGCCGCGCATGAACACAATGTTTTTAGCAGTAATACAGCTTGTACTGCAGTGTCAGACTCAAACCATCCGTAGAACTCTTTTATTTACGAACATATCTAGTGTTGTCACGACTTCAAGAGCACCACGTTCATCGACCTTCATAACTGTCCATATTCTAACTAGCTAGCAAAACCTTCGTTACACTAGGCTTTGCTACCCAGCCTACGATCAGCCTGTAAACTGCCCGCCTAATTTAGATAAAAGCCTTGTATTATGAATACCGCCTGATTAGCGGAGGCGAAAACAACTAGTCTCATCCCTGCAGCTGCTTACATACGCTCCTATTTCTTACTAAATAGGTACCGATTGAGCTGACTGTATTAGCATTTATGCTCTAGGTCAAACACTGCACACACAAGTAAAAAACTTATCTGTATATGCATCAGTCATGCCAAGAAACGCAAACCACCTAGGGGCCCATCACCCTAAACAGTGTCTGATCTTTTGTTGGTGAAACTATTTGCACTGGAGGAAATCTCTTGCTAGATCCCCTGCTACCAGCGTTGCCTCTGACCCATAATCCAAAAATGCACATATGTGGAAAACATTTCCGTTATGTCTAGCTAAGACAAATACTATGGCGAGTGATATTCAACTCGTCATATTCTTTCCCATTTGCATATTCTAGCACCGTTGTGCAAGCGTGTGCCCGCAGTCTTTAGCTTCATCCGAGAATCCCTCTCTTTTGCATAGCAATGTGTGGTGTATTTAACCACAACTTTCAGTCGTACAGGACCTCAGACACCGGCCACCTTTTGCTATATGTCACTTAGTTTTCACTTGGAAATGAAATCTAAACCTTCATCGAGGTCTTTATCCTTAAGCTTCTGACACTGTTAAGTGTCCCTACAAGTGTAATATACCAGGTGATATGAACGAAAATGCTTGCTTCTTAGGATCACGAGTTTGTTTCTCACAGTTGAACTCTGAAAGTTGGGCGACAAAGACTCAATATCTAGAATCAAGATTAAAGTTCTTCGCATTGACACTAAATTCCTTGCTATCTCTTTCACTGTCGTGCTTTTATTTAACAATCCATACCTGGTGTTATCAAAGTTTCACTGCTCCTTGACAAATAAGGCTGCAACCAAACAGTAGTTGGGATCGTTCTCGAAGGTATCGGAAGCAAATTCTACCCATTTTCATTGAGCACGAAATGGAAGTTCCGGGAAAGGACCCCCAATAAGTCAACCAGAACCAGAATTTAAAATGCTATTCACTTTCTAAACTGGTAACTTGCGTGTTTGCACCTTGCAAGACAAATTCTTCAAATGTATCACATAATTTCTACCCATATGCGGTCACACCATAGTTTAGACATAAGACTTCCTCTGGCAATTCCAAGCCGTTATTATGACTTTCTTCTGATTGCAGCGGAATACAGTATTTGATAATTCCCTTCGCTGCCTGTTCACAGTACTAAGTTAAGTAACTCAATCTAGTTCGATGTCTAATAGTATCGACAACGAATTCTTTGTGAGATACCGGTCGTTTATTGGGTTACCGACAAACTGAAGAGTCTCCCTTTCAAACACATACGGAATCTAAGAGCTTGTCTTTCTAAACATGTAATTGGAAATGATCTACACTGCATGTGGTCGGAAGGCGTTTTTGTCTTCGGTTTCAGGTAATCACACTTCCCCCAAATGCCCGCCATGGTCTTCCTAACCGAGTTTCCCTTCATTTTTCGGGCAACAAATGTCTCTGAAAATTTGGGTTTCGTCAAAGACTGCCTTCGAATTTATTCATCCCAACCGCACTAGGTTTGCTACTCATTACTGATTATGGAGGAAACGCCGGCATATAGCTTTCATCTCACCACCAGTCTGAACTGTCTTAAACTTTACATAATTTAATTGCTCACAAATGTGTCAGTTCCCATGGACAGTATGTGCTTCACTTCAGTTAAAACACGGATTACGTGACTTAAAACTTTATAAGAATGGTTGTATAAAGGCAGTAAATACAAAATGTTGTACTCCAAGCAGGAGCCGAATCATACGGAACTTTTTCATGAAAGTCACATTCACAGGCATTTGGGAAGATGAAACATAATGTAGACACAGTCAGTTGAAATCGGATATGTGTATAGGGGAAACCAATGCCTACGTAACAGTAATTAGCAAGATAGATGATTTTTAAGTCATCACTTTGTTTTATTATAGTTGTCTCATGAACCCTGGTGGAACATTTACAAGAAAACACAAATAGTGTTTCTATTCGCGTTTGGTTCCTGAATTTCTGTGATGAATTTCTACCTGCCCAACATTATTTTATGAAACAGTCATACGCTTTTTGACCTAGGCTTACAGCTTCACCACTGTAGCCTCACGAATACGTTGTCGTATATAAATTTTACCCCCAGTCATTTTTGTTATGTCCCATATATCAACGTCAAACTCGAATGGCAATAAATGGACTACACTGATTGACGTGCCAGTAGGGAGTGCATAAAAAATCGCCTGGGTATTCCCTATGCTGCTGCAAATAAAATAACGATATAAAGGTAGCAACAACAGCCATAATCCACTGAAAGTTTGCATGGGATGCTGCTCAAATCCTACGACAACCAGCTGATAAGAAACAATCTGTACGGCTGTACACTTAAAAGAGAGGTCCACTGCTCAGTCAAAAGTCGGTGTGGTATTCAAGACATTAGGCTTGAAGCAAGGTAATACAAGAAACGTTTTGGAAATTTCTGAAAATTCTTGAGGACTAGAGGTGCAACGGTTGTAGGTGTCGGCAGTATAATAAACCAGGCTGAGAGATGATTTACGCATGTTGTCAACGAAGGAGAAATTTCGGCTATAGAATCATTCGCCCTGCATAGCCGTGATTCCACGAGAGGCCCACAGTACCCTGAGAGATTTGTAGGAATAATGCCGGCATTAATACTAGTCACTACGAGAACCCAACCGAGTTAATAGTAAAATTTAAGGACACAGTTCAGTAATTTTATGCCTTATGTTCAGATAACCTAACAACTAGTTACATAAGAGTTGTAGGGATATTGGTTCCATTTACTTCTTGTTAAAATGACTGTGACATCAATTTGTGCGTGGGAATGTACTACAGAATGACGGTTGAGGCAGCTACGATTTGCGTAGAGTCAAAGGCACAAAGTAAGACTTTTCATCTGGGGATTGCAATGGATTACTATAGGGACGATGCTATTTCTGACATCCAGCAATGATCTGTCGGATAACTGAGAACTTGAAATCTTAGGGAGCTGTGAAACGCAAAGAAGACTCAGGTGGATCTCATGAATAATTCAGCACACTAGAGAAATGGACCTCCTCAAATGTCAGTTGCATGTCCTATGAACGAGAATATACTGAAATAAATCATGTATGAGACATGAATAAGGCGAAAGCGCTGAAATAACATCGATAAGGGTGGAATAGGTGCTTGTGCTCTGGTTTCGGAGGTCAGCACTGTTCAGAGTTTGACTAAGGGTGCCCATTAGTTAAAGTTTTTGAGTTACGAATGGTCAGTATGGCAAGTTATTTCAAAAACAGCACTATTACCTGAGTAAGTTATTAATTTACAGGGAACAATGTTTGCAGCATAATCAAATGCAGGCGACCCACCAGAGCAGTGTGAAGTTAAACATTTGAAAGTGCTAATACGTCATCAGTAAGAAGTGAAAGGGACCTTTTTCTCCATATGGCGTTAGCAACCAGAATAACTTCAAACCAAAACCCATAAAGTCGTAGATGAAGCACGTAAGCAATGAAGATCACCATCATATGGATCAAAGAGGTTTAAAATGAAACCTCCTGCAATTTCACTAGCTTCCTGAATCCACTGACACTGCACAAATGTTCATAGGATTCATCTATTGGTATGAGGATAAACCACGCATGATTGTTTTGCGAGAAGTCCAGGGGGATAATTTGTAATCTCGATTAAATAAACCAGATTTTCGGGTTCCACCTGAACTGCGGAGACACCGGCTTGTTTTAAATACCACACAAATAAATAGTTTTACGAAATGAAAACCTCAAAGTGAGGGGCGTTTGGACCATGCACAATCTACGCACTTTCACCATGCACCAGTAAGGAGAAGCAGCGAAGCTGCATCGGAGATGGTTCGTGGTTGGAAATAAACAGCGTGCCAATATGGTGATCAAGAATAGGGAAGTTCGGGTGCGTTAATAACATCGCCCATTGATGATGCTAATTCTAGCGACGTAGTCAACTGACATATTGTTGTAATCATAGAAGTTTCATTTTTGTCTCCTGGACTAAACTGGTCCTCAAGAAGTTTTTCAGGTGTATGCAACGTTTGTGGTACAATGAGTTT